CAATCCTTCCGTGAGCGGGACATCGCCGCCCGAGAGGGCAGGCCCTTCAACGTGATGTCGCTAGCGCCCAGGGCGTCAACCAATGCAAGCCGCCAGCGCGGTCACACCATCACAGGTGAAGATCGCCTTCAGCAGTCGGCGGGTGCAAACCTTGCCAAGAAGGTCCGCAGCATGGGCAAGAAGGCCAGGACGCACACCCGTGGGCCCTCATGTCAGATCACGCATGGGATTCTTACAACCACGCAAGGGCTTGATGCAACAACCCTTGATCAGATTGAGGTGTTCCAACAAATCCGCGCGCCCAACATCAGGCGAGAACAGCCTGGTCAGCGCGATGCACGGTTCGCTAGTCCGAAGGAACTTTGACGATCGATTTCGACCGCCGCAGCTTCATCAGCTTCAACGACCGCTTCTACAAGCCCGAGGAAGCTGTGATCATCACCCAAGTGTCTTTGCGCTCCGGAAGGCTACCGCGTCTCCGAAACGTTCCAGCGCACTGTGATCTCCTTCACTGACTCCAGCACTATGATCATCATGAAGGCGTTGATTAGGTATTTCAGGGACCAGCTGACCTATGCGCGCAAGAGCCATGAACCACTTCCTGACCTCACGCTACAAGAGGGCATCCGCATCCTGGAGGGCTTGGCCACTCTGAGCAACAGGCAGCTCAACGGGCCAACACGCGATTCCACTATCGCTTTGACGAGGGCCAGACTCAGACCAGATTCAACCGAGCCTACACCCGAGGACGCGAACGAGATGCGCCCGTCCAAAGATGTGGCAGGGACTATGGCGAATCTATGCCAGCAGGAGATCGTGGCCACCCAGACAGCCACACGTCATTCCCTGCCGCGCCAAGCATCTCGCAGCCGAAGGCTCCTGCGAAGGACCAGCCACCAAGAAGGGATCCTGCTTCCTATCTTTCCGAGCACGCGTGCTGGAAGTTATGGACACTTTGATGCTGAAACACGGGCCGGGACGCCCCGCGAGGGACCGACGCTGCCAGGTGTTGGCCATCCGCGGGCGAAAGCCACACGATCAAGATCTCCAGCTCCAAAGCCAACGTTCAGGGAGCCCGTGGCAAATTTCAAGACTGGAGCACGAGTCCGAGTGGAGATTCCTCAGAAATGTGGGACTTCCGCATGATGCACCAAGGCGCGTATCCAGGAGCATCCACCAAAGAAGGCTCCACCCACGAGGGCTATTGATGCCCCAATGTACACGCCCGCCCCAAGGCAACAGCTGGACATGCGGGATCGGGATCCACCGCGGCCGCCGCTGCAAAGGCCGCTGCTCCCATTCCGCCGCCCGAATGGGCTGGCCAAACTCAGATTGTGCCAGGCACGACACGCTCAGATGGCAGCTTTGTCACGTTGCGCGGGGAGCCGGTGGTGCCACCAGCCAAGCCAGTGGCCCCCGCCAAAGCCGTGACTCCCCAGGCGAACGCTCCCATCATTCCCAAAGCATGCCCCGCAGATGCGAATACTCGGCCCAACAACGTGACGCTTGCTCGTCAGTCAGGCACGCACTATGACTGAAATGTTTCGCATGATTCAGGACGTCCACGAACTTTATGGCATTCGCCTCAGCCATTACCCGATGACACAGTACGGTGGTACTTTCGACCCGTATTCAGTTCTGCCTGACGGCTATGATTGGGGTGACCCTTACATTTGGGCGGTGCTCCGTGCCCGCAACAGCGTCAGCATCATCAGAGATGATTACACCAATCTGGTTGTTCCTTACTCCAGCAGCCCCACGGCTTTATCCAGGCAGGCGCCAAGGAGGTCATCTGGTTTCTCCGTGGATGGAATCACCTACCTCCAGGATGACAATGGCGAGTGGGTGGTCTGCATGTGAGTTCATGCCACAACATCATTTTAGCCTTCGGGCAGCTACGCCGCTCTAACGAGCCGGCATGTGCAGAGTCAGCCTTAGAGTAGTTTTGCGTAGCATGGTGCTGTGATACGTTTGTGCCACGTCTGCAGTACGGGCCTAGTTCTTGAGTTGAACAGTTGCTATACTTTTGCATGCACGAGCGCTTTTACATGTGGTTTTCGCCGCCCGAACGGGCCGGTAGGTGTCCTTGGTCGGCTTAAACCGCTCAATGCTCGTCTTTCTTTGCATTTTGCAGAGCCAGTAGATTTGCTTCCCACTTTCTAGCCATGGCTAAGCCATTGTTAGCTTTCTTTCTTTCGCATAGCACTTAGATGCGCGGGGGTGAATTTACCGCTAACATGTGCATGGCTCAAGTACAAAAATTGTTCAGGTGTTCTGCCGGTAATTTTAGAACGTATGGATGTCAGGACAGAGACGAAAAGCGTAGCACTCCGTCCTTGTTATGCTCCAAGCCGTTATTATTGGGAAGCCTCATGCCCCAAACAAGGTCAAGCCGGGAACCCGAAAACCAACTGTGAGATAAGATCCTGGTGGAGTAGTCATTGCCAATAGCTACAGGTGCTAGTCTAATCTCAGTGTGTTGCCATTTATTCGGCTCATAGCAAGATCGACAGCTGCTTTGCGTCCAGCCCCCCTTGTCCAGTAGCCCCCGCTCATCCCCAGGCGCAGACGATACCCCGCTCACCCCCGCGCAGACGACCCGCCGTGCAGACCCGCCTGCGCAGACCCGACACTGTATGCCCTTGTCCAGTAGCCCGCTCACCCCCACGCAGACGATATTGCGCACCCCCACCCTCCCCGCACCAGACGAGATCGAGCACCCCCCCTTATCCAAATTTTTTTTGCAGCCGATATCGCGCACCACCAGCCCCCGCTAATCCTTTATCCGCCGACCAGCCCTCCCGGCCCCGCTCAACCGCGCAGACGATATCGCGCAGGCCCCCCCTTGTCCAGACGCGCGCCCGGCAGACCTGTGCGAATTTTCCGCAAAACCCTTGCTCGCTATGTTCACCAGCAGCCGCTCAACCCCCGGCACCGCCACCCCACCATGAGCCCCAGTCTGTGCGCAGCCAGCCGACGAGGCCTCCGCAGCGTTTAGTCCTTTTTTTTGCTTTTGCCCAACGACATTGCGCATGTCGCGTTTGTGTATTAAATGAAAACTCAACCCTCGGAAAAAAACAATACTTCAAATGTCGAGGCGACTGGTGTGGCCAAAAAAGCTGGTGTGTCACAACATTGGGCTCCTTCGTAGGGCTCCAGAAATGTGCAGTATCTTACTTAAAGCAAAGTATAGCTTCAATAGTTACGAGAAAGAATCACACGACTTTTCAGCAATGGAAAGGATGAGCTTGTATACGTTATATTTAGGAATGAGTGAGAATCTGGTTTGTTCATAGTAGGTGTCAATTAGTATTTTTACATGTACATAAGATATATATATATATCTCTCTCTCAATCTCTCTCTCTCAATCTCTCTCTCTCTCTCTCCCCGTCTGCGCAGAGATAGGTAGAACTATGCATGAATGTGTTGCGGTCTCCTGCTGTCCGCACATTCTAAAGTTCGATTTGCATGAAAACATGTCATGGGTTGGCACAATTCTTGTTGAGATTTTGACGAGGCTGCAAATAGAATCACACACTTGCTAGAAAAAATTGGAATCCTGATTCAATTTCAATGCTGCTTCAACGAAAAGTTGAGCTCTTGCTCATGTAGGTAGAATTACGGATAATGCAGAAATAGGGTGCGCTCCGTTCGCTTTGATAAGGTTTCAAATTGAGGGGTCTGAGTTGCCAGGATGAAAACATGCAAGGAGGCAATGCTAGATAAGGTTTACGTGGAATGACGCGACTTGAGTGGGCTCTAGTCTACACATACTGATATTCCAGGAAAGGCTGGAATCCACTTTCGTTTTGATCCGTTTTACATTGGTCGCTAGATAGCAATAAGCATCTTCCAGAAAAGGCGGTGCTCTACTTCAGTTTGGTTGGTTTTGAAAGGTCATTGGCTTCTGTGTAGATTTTGCAGACCTTCCAGAACTCTTCCAGAAGTGGGTTGTACCCAAATTGAACTTGATCGTTTTCAACTAGGAATAAAACTTGCTACAGGTGGGCAGACTCTTAATTAACTTTGGAACAGGAGCCTGTATGATGTTGGTGTTTTGCGTAGAGTCGGAAGTCTCTCTATATTTGCAAGTGCTGCATGGGTGCTGACAGCTCATCATGCAACACAGAATCTTTGCAGAAGTTCTGTAGGTCTAGCCCCTAAGAAGCAGATAGCAGTGCAAACCTGGCAGATGACCAAAAGCAGCTTCCCCATTTTCGGCAAGCAATTCTTCAGGAGAAGCACTGAACTTCATGTCAGGCTGAAAAAATATCCTGCCCTGTCGTCAGGCGGTAAGGAGGATCAATCATCACAAAAAACTGCTCAACTCATACAGCTGCAGCTGCACATGTTTGTCACTTAAAATCGAATGCAGGGGCATGAACCATGGCGCTTTAAGGCATACAGTGCAGGATGTGTGCAGCTGGCATGTGATGAGCAGTGTTACTGATTCTTTAGACTCCAGTGTCTGGGCTGTTGCGTTTGTTCTCAGACACCCGAGTATTGCCGCTGCGATTTCAGCTACCGCTTTGCTGAGTTTTCTTCGCTCGGGTTCCCGGCGGAACTGTACTGTAGAGGGGCCACCGAATCGCATTGGGCGATGGCCACACCATTTTCACGAGAACTTGTCAGAGTTCAGTAATTATGCGGATACATCTTTGTATTTTGGCTACTGGCGCCGGCTTTGGCGCCTTTGTGGTGATCCATGCAGAACAGTCTGTGCGAAACAGTGTGCCTGGGTTGAAAGGCATGGCAGAGAAGCTGCGTTGCCATTCGTGAGAATGTTACATGGCTTCGCAGTCATTAGATAAATTTTATGAACAGAAAAGTTTCAAAATCTCTCTGAGCTAGAAGTCACATGTGCTTGGATCATCGCGTTTCTCGTGAGTGGGTGCCCTACTTTTGAAATTCGTTTAACACGTGACATTCCTCCCTGCGCTGGCATTTGAATTCTTTCGTAAGGCTCTTGTCCCAAGCCACGACCCAGACCTCCGTGCAGGCCATGGACACTGCCTTTGCAGAGCGTCTGGAGATTGTCAGTGCAATGGCGGACCAAAACTTTGAGTTCCCCTCTGCGCAGTATTTCCAGGCAGGTTCCTCATGTCAGGGGTTTCTGGAGAGCAAGAACTTAGGGCATGTTGAGGGCTGCTTGAGAAGGCCGGACAAGCATCTGGGGGATTTGGGATCTGCTCCCGCACCCACACTGGACGGAGGCAAGATGCTCCTAAACATCAAGACAGAGTCAGTTCTTGAACTGTTGCACGAAGCGTGACCCGAAACTGCAGGAGTCATGAGCCCCCTAGCTGATCTGCAACACAGTCTTCAGCCCCTTGTGACGCGTCCCAGTTCTGGACTTGCCTAGGTTGCTCCACCTACAGCCAGGGTTTCCTATGTTGTCTGTCGCGTCACTACGATCATTGTGTTGTCTAGCGCAGAACAACACTGGCCAAACATCATGGCTACTCCTTGAAAGCCATGCGGGCAGCAAGTTTGGGCGGGCATGCAATTGGAACATCACTACTTCGGATGTCACCAACTTCTACGGTGTTTTCAACTACGTTTGTCACCTGGAAGCGAAATGATGTCTCCAACGTAGCTAATAAGGTAGGAGCGCTTCGGGTGTGGGATCTAGGCTTCTAGGGAGTTTTGCAGTTTTGTTCACGACTTCCTGTACTGTACCTCAATGTCGTACTCAAGAATTTCATAAGAGTTCAGTGAGATAGCACCCCAAGCCACTTGTAAGGTTGCAAGATTGATTGATGTGCTCAGGGCCTCGGGTTTAGGGTTAGGGCCATACCGCGTCAATCCGACCAGTCCTTGGTCAACAACGGCAAGCAAGACCTGGAGCAGTCCGTGCCCTGCGCCAGACTTGTTGGGATCTTTCTTTGTGTCTGCCGCTTTCTCCTGGTGGGCTCACGTCTGAGCACGAGTTTGCTTTAGATTCTGTCGTTGACTTACATCGTCAGGGATTCGCAAGAGTCATGCTTCTGAACATGCTGTCGCCGCTGAAGCAACTGCTACCATCTTGCTCCCGACAGCCACCCTGTGCATACAAGGCCATCAGGTACAGGGAGTAGCGGGTAGGTTGATCATCGCGACTTTTTGGAAAATCAGACGGACTTTAAGCATAGGGCGTAAAACCTTGACTCGTTGCTTGCATTTTTAGGGAGAGATCAGAGTGGAGAAGATAAACAAATCCCTCCCTCATGCCCCCTCATACCTAAAGCCCTGCAGCCACTTCCATCCCCGCGAGAAGAAAATAAGATTCTCTGTTTCCTAGCCTCGATATACCTTGAAACAGTTTGGTGAGTATTTCGGCCCCTACACTTAAAAGGTTCGGCGAGTGGTGAACATCTTGGCCCTTCCATTCAACCCGCAGGTCTCCAGCAAGGCCAGGGTCCTTTAGGGTACAAATGAAGGCAACCACGCTTAAGGACTCTGATTCTCCCTTCAGGACTTCCTGATCCTTGACGAGGGTTATGCCGGTTTTGAGCATACAGTTGCTCCTTCCTTCCAGGGTGATTCAGTACTTGGCCGGCGCATAGTTGAGGCCCAAAGACGGTCAATAACTTTGAGGGGTCAATTGTGCGCTTTTGGTCCTTAATCTCTGAGGTTAGAGAGGGAGTCTTTCACACGTCGTAGTGGCTGCTGAACACGAAGCCTTAATCTCTGCCGCAAAGATACATGCAATCTCAAAGCAACATCCTGCTACGCTTCTCTCCGCCTCCACCCTTTGCGAGAAACAGTTTGAAACTTGTCAAGTCGGTAGCTTGTAAAGGCTTAGCAGAGTACATATAGCCCCAAGCTGCCCCAAGAAGCATCTCAATGTCAGCATCATTCTCCTGAACAATTTCGCGCAGTTCAAGAAATACATCCAGCAGCTTCGTCGCCTGCCGGTAGGTTTAAAAGCTCTGAAACCACAAAGTTGCAGAATGCAGCTTAGAGGTTGCGGCGCAACATGGCCTCAAATGAAACTTCACAAGCGCAGTGGAGCCTCTGGAGAGCATCTCTCCACATGGGGCCCTTTGCTCACAAGCTTGTCTCTAGATTGAAGTGACTCCGGCTTATGAATAGCAGCCCCACGTGGCACAGTACTTCTTTAGGCAGCCGAACTCCTCAGACATGTAGTGATGGGAAGAAAGAGGCGCTTTAGTAACTCCCCCAGGCGAAGTTGCTAGCCTTCTCAGGGGAAGCTTGCAGTCCTTGTATGTCCTTGTACAAATATTCCCTGAACTGTCTCAGGAACGAACTTGCAACTCATCACATCATGCTTTTTTGTGCGGAAAGCTTACGAAAGGATGGGCAAGGATGGCAGGTAGTGGTTCCACGAGCCATGCTCAGGAAGCGCCAAATCGATTTAATGGGACAGAAGGTGTGAAAACTTATCCAAAACAGACCCTTGAACGTGAAGCCCTTGCTTGGGCTGGAGCTGTAGGATGCGAGATCAATATTAACAAGTTATCGGCAGCATACACAAGCATTCAATTCGAAGACGTAGAAAAATTGTTCCACACAAGCGCACTTTTCCTGGCCCCGATTCGAGCATAGATTTGGATTGCGCGTCAAGAGACGAAGAATCCACAGCTCCGCTGGCTTAGGATAAATTGACGAGGCCAAATTGAGTTCGATTGCCTGCGCAGAATCTGACATGAGTTCGGATAGACTCTGACAATCTCTGACATCAGCTGGAGTGCACGGGCATAAATCGGAAACCGCAGCAGTAATTCGTTGTCGGAGCTCACTATCCCCTCAGGCATTTTCGATGGCTACTCTCATGCTTATTGAAATAGCCATCGGAAGTCGAACAGTGTCGGTGTCAACATTGATTTGGTGAGAGAGTCGCATGTGCCCCTTGTACTCGCAGCATCCTGTGCACACATCTCAGCGATCGCAGCCTGGAGGTTATGGGGGCGCAGGCTGATGAGCTCTGCAGGAGGTTCCGCTTCAAGGACACGCGGATGACGGAGTCTTAGATGTTTCAAGACTATTGTGTTGCGGCAAACTGGTTGCATTAACTACGGCCATTCGGAAAGTCTTGTCCATGGTTGGTCATATTTATGTATGGAGGGTGTTTTCGGAGGTGCAGACATCATGCAGCATGGGATTTCCGAGCAGCCTCCGGCCGCCTTTGGAGTCAAGACTTTGCATCGCATGACGGCTTTAGGCATATGCAAGGCATTCACAACAAAAACTTGGACAGGGGGTTCAGAGGAGGCAAGGTGACTTGCGTAGGAGAGGACAGAGATACACGAACCATGCCCGTTATCAGCCTAAACAATCCATTGGCGTTTGATAGTTGATTCGGGCCGACATCTGTTTCAGGTGCCCGAACGCCTTATCCAAAGAACAACCCCTCACCTGCCTTAGAACAACTTAAAGCCTCAGTCTGCTCCGAAGGAGGAACCTGTCAGAAGGTCATCAATGATCAGGTCTTCATTCTCTTCTGCGGCTCCAGAGGCGGAAGCTGTCAACGAGGAGGGCAAGGCAGAGGCCAGTTCTTGACGGTATGCTCATCTTATTAATGGTATGCCTGGCGCTCCAAGAAAAAAGATAGAGGGCCCTGGGGTCCTCTTCGATGGGAAAGTGCTACTGCGCTTGTAAGCAGGTACTCTTTCTGCTGACTGGTTCTGTAGTGTACTTTCATATGGTTTCCTATAGGCGCCTGTTTGCATTGAGCGCCCTTATACGTGCGACCGCAAAAGCAAGTGCATCTTCTGACAAGCTTCCCAGAAGGGCAACCCGGAGCGGGCCGACTCCAAGCCGCTCGGCCGCGCAAGAAGAGAAGTGTGATGCTTCGAAATGCCATGAGCTTTTCTTTGCGAAGTCTGAAGCTGCGAAGCAGCCAGCAATTGGTGAGAAATTATGTTGAAGAATTGCTGAGAAGCGTTGAACAATAACAGTCCTTCCCAGCTCGTTTGCAAGAAGTTGCATTCTGTGAAGGATGGGGTCAATGGACCTGTCCTTATAAAGGTTCTTCCGGCAGCGTCTTTCATTAGCACATGCTTTGGGATCTTGAGGGCAGCAAAGTACCCCTTGAGTTTCCTGCTGTCCAAGCACAGACTGTACTTCCTGCGGCTCTTCATCTAGCCTAGATATGCTACTTTGGAGCCTCACAGTGCGTTCGAGGTATGACTGGGATTGGAATGAGATGGCCACTGACTTGTGGCTCAAAAGGTCTGTGAACATGCGATGCGTAGAGGATATTAGAGGTGCCAACAGAATCTATGTGCTCATTGTTATTCGGCTCCAGGTTTCTCAAAAGTTCGCAGGGCATCACTAAGGCCCAGCATTTTTGTCCAATCTGTGCAAAAGCTTTCAGAGGTAGAGCCGGAGGGGTATGCGAGCGTATGTACTACACGGTCCTGACGTCACTCATGTAGCCATTGTAAATTGCTGTGAATTACTGCATCTTCAGGCGTGCCTACGATTCCTTTTGTGGCTATTTATACCCCGCTGTAGCAACTTTGTATCATTAACATAGCTTCCGTGGATCTCAGGTGCAGCATTCCCGGCATCTCTGTGTCCAACGACGTGCAAACCATGGTTTTCTGAGTCCTGGTCAAAGGCAAGTCCTTGATGGCCGCCGATTTTTAAAATCATTCACGTTGATTTACTGACCCTGATTCAAAGCCTGTCAATCTGACTGTCCGAAGGATGAAAAGCAATACGTATGGGTCTTTCGTACTTCCGGCTACGAGAGATTGTACTCACGACCACTGGTTTAAACTGCTGCCTGCAATTAGGCTTTCAGTCAAATCTCTGCTATGCTATGCCTCGTGTCCTGGACACTGAGGGCCTGCTCTAATTCCATGAGCAATACCAACAGCTAGTTGGCAGAGACCACAAGTTCAAAGGAAAACATGAGCTCGAGCTGACTCGTCACATGTGTGCATACAAAGTGCGGTCGACATGCATATCTACAGTTCGCCAAAGATGCCCCAATCCGTACCGGCAATCCAACAGCCCATACTGAACATGGCAGCTTCTCCAGCACTTGCAAGCTCCGTGCCTGGCCGGGCCCGGATAAAGTCTCAGAGCCTGCTATATTCTCCTGGGCCAAAAGCATGAAGTAGTACGCAGTGCGCTGGTTTAGTGGCCCTGCATTCTCGCAAAGCTCCTCGTGAGGTTTGAGGCATGATTTAATCATGGTTGTTTAGATTCAAAAGACTTGGAGACAAGCGCAACTCCTGAGCGCGATCGGAGTAAAACACCATCAGCTAGGTACCGGTGCAAGCCCTGCATCCTGCAGCGAACCACGGCCCCTTAGGAAAGCTCCAGACTGTCCAGAATTTGGGATGTCTGGAACACTCACACTTGAACTCTTCTGCCATGAATCGATCCCCTAGCCCTCGGCAGTTCACCCAGCACGTAAGATGTAAGAATCCGCTCCTGATGGACCACGGGTTCTCTTTAGGTAGCAGAGCCCCATTTTGCGGCTCTTTGGATTTGCAGATGGTCCTGGAAGATGGGGTCGAGCTTTGAAGCCTCTACAGTGGCACTGCGCCTGTTCAGAATATCCGTTCCCAGCTCTTTGTTTAGGAAAACAATGGCACCTCAGCAAGTCCAAGATTGTTTCTCAAGGTTTGCAAGATGTTTGCACGCAGAAACGCCCGGTTCTGAAATGGCTTGACAGCAGTCTCATATACAGAGCCACAACATCGAAGAGGGGTTCTCTGTAACGTTGAACGAGTTACTTGTGGTCCGCCCGCAAAACGAGGCATCTCTTACAGGCCGCTACAAGTCTTCTTCGGCCAAGGTCTTTTCAGCAATGCTTGAAGGTTAATTTGAAAGTTATGGAATTCAAACTACAAAGCTCCCGAACTACGTCCAGATCCGGGTGAGTCTGTGGAAGCGCCACGTGTCAAGCACGTAGCGCAAAACGTGCGTGCAAAGCGCACGAGGATATGTTCTGCATACCCTTCTGCGCTTGTGAACGTGCCAGTATCATTCCACGTTGGGCAAGTTGTTCAAGAGGGCTGAGACGTTTTCTGCAAGCTGCACCTGCTATTGCTCCTCAAGCTGGGATGAAGCAGTGGACAATTCAGTCCTCAATAGTCCTCATTGTGCCCAATCACGTTTTAATGGTATATACCCAGCTTCCCTTTCCAGCTTCAGGACCGGTGCAGCAAAGCTCAACCGGTCAAGGTCTGACAACACCCTCTAGCAGCCCCAGCGACGCGCAGCGTGTTCGTGTGAGCAGTTTGGTGTGCTGAGTTCATTGCCCATGAGAGCCTTGTGCGTTTGTGTCGTACATCCCTCAGAACTTGTAGAGATGATGTGTAGTTGAATGCTGACATGAGCAAGAGCTAATGTAAATATCAAGTGCAGAAAAGCCACCACTACGTTCTGGGCCAGCAGCCAGCTTGCCGCTCCCACATCCACATGCTGACCCGCAGCATTTGCGATCTAGGTACAATTAATTTGACCAGGAGGTCGCCCAAACGAAATTCCCTATTCCCATTGCTGCTCGCCTTGCAGCCAACTTTGCACTGCAAAGGTGGAAAATGTTTTGCTGGGCCACGTGCTTTTGGGGCGCAGGGTGGTTCAAAGCCGCGCTGAAATAGAGGGAACTTCCGAAAAATAGGAGTCCCGTTTTGGGAGGGTAACGTACCTGCAAGTTTTTCTTCAAATTTTCATTAGGATTTCTAGTAACTAAAGAAAGCTGTAATCGTTTCATCTACAAGAAAAAAGCCTAGCCTCTCGGAAGCTCAGTAGAGATAGTTTATAGCAACATATCTATTCATACCTCAATAAAACGGCACGGCCACTTGCGGCCATGTCGCTCGCGCGGGACCTTATAGCTTTCGCGGGCTATCTAGGGGCTCTAACATTCCCGAGATTTTAAGCTAGAGGCTATAGAGGCTCTGAAATCTCTGTCCGCGGAGGCCGACCAAAAATCTCTCACCGCCACAGACCTGCATATACTTCTGTCAGTCTAACTCGCAGTATATCGGTCTATCGGAAAGACCGTCAATCAGTGAGGGTGCCGGTCTGTCAATCTCTCCTTGTTTCTGTCCATCGTCCTGATGGTCTGTCAGTCTGACGGTCTGTCGGTCTGCGACTTTGTCAGTCGATGCGTCAATTTGTCACTCTGACTGCCCAGCTGTCGAATCTGTTCGAATCTGTCCGCGCGCGTTCTCTGAAGTCTGTCAGTCTGTTTGTCTGTCTTTCAATCTGTCAGTCAAGCGTTTTGAAAATGTCTGAAAAAGAAGGTCTATCGGTCAATCAGCCAATTAATCTTTGAATATATGAATCTATCTACGAGAATGCTAAAAGAGCGGTAGATCTAGTTCTCGGAGTACCAAATTATTGATTTGATATATAATACTCGTATGAACTTGGAAGTTGATCACGGAATTTGATATCAGGACCCCGCGCGCGGGAATGATGCATCCAGGTCTGAGAAGGCGGAACTTTGAGCGCGCAGATGATTAGAAAGGATAGAATTTCGTTTTTCCTCCCCAATTCTTCATTT